GAATCCTGGTCTTCCTGGGCAGAGTTGCCAGGACCGAGGCGTACACATACTGGGCTCTGAGCGCTGAAATATGACTCTGAAGTGTCAAGCATGTTCAAATCCAAAGTTTCATGAGAAATCATAACCAAGAAGTAGTAGCAAGTCAGAATATTCATAGTTCTAAAATGCTGCTTGATTTTATTTGCCTGAGCAATTTCACCTGATTTATTCTTTAAACAGTTTAGACTTTATGTAAACTTTATTTTTTGTTAACAAAATTGTTGTAATATGGTACCCAGCTCCATGGTGTTGTGACATATTGGTGTTGTGAAGTTTGTCCTATACCTTGCCAGGATCATGTGACTACTTTTTCGGTACCAAAGTTTTGCAGTTATTTCTTGGATCTTTTTCCTTTTCATTTCTTTCTGTCTCTCTCTCTCCCTCTCTTCTCTCTCTGTTTCTTTTTTGTAAAGTAGAGCAGATTGAAGTTGAGACCTGTAGTAATAGCACTCTGACTCATTTGTACTCTGATTGGTCTTTTAACTGGAAGACGGAAGGGGAGAAATCATAGCTAGTCAGCTGGGAATTTTGATAACTGGCTTATGGGACGGTATCCCCCATGTGAACATTTGTCATATGGGACAGAGCAGACACAAAAGATGGGGATCACTGGCCTATATGATCCATCAGATGGAAGAACTTTCATCTACTTGCTAAAAGTTTTTTTTGTTAAATAAAGTAATTCTGCATAAGTGCTTATTTTAATGAGTTCCTTTAAAAAAGCAGTGTCCAAGTGACTAAGCATGTGATTATGTGACAAATTCAGTGAGTGTCTGTAGGTTTTAAAATGTCCTCATGTACATTCCCTCCAGGAGTAGAGCTGGTATATGTTGTTGTATAATTGCGTTCATGAGTAACCCATGATTCTTGCTATTTTTTTGTGTGTTTTGCTGTTACACCTAATGAGTTCAAAGAATGTCTCCCGTCTTAAAGAATATTCAAAGTGACCATGTTCTTTGCTTCTAATATAGTTGACATAGAACCAAAAAAAACCAAACCTGTTGCCGTTGAGTCGATTCCAACTCATAGCAACCTTATAGGACAGAGCAGAACTGCCCCGTAGGGTTTCCAGGGAGCAGCTGGTGGATTCAAACTGCCGACCTTTTGGTTTGCAGCCATAGCACTTAACCACTACACCACCAGGGCTTCATAGTTGACATAGATAATAAAATGGATGTATTTTCCTGGAGTTTTTGATCATTAGGAAGCATAAATATTTAAAGGTTGAGACGTCTGATGAGTAGCGATAGAAGGCTTTTTTCCCCTTAGGCTGGATAAACCAGATTAATTTTCAGAGGGAAGGGTAACTTAACTGACTTTAAAATTAAATGAAGGGGCAAAAGTGCCTTCCCATTCCAGGGTTCAAGTCTATGATAGTATTTTACAGCCCCTGCCTTTTCTCTGCTTCTTTCTGAGGATAGGGTGGTGACATTGATGGGTGAGTGTTTGTCAGGTGGCTGGTGGTGGCCACCTTTCAATGGTGGTGGTCAGCCAGGGGCACGAACTCTTGGTGTTTGATGTCTAAATGCTGTGCCTGAACTACAGAAAGGCTGCCTGACCTATTGCCACGTGTTAATCATTCTAGTTCGGGCATATTTCCTGTGTAGCTCAGACGTCAACTCTCTTTAGGCTAGGTTCCCCCATTGCTTGCATGTGCCGCAAAGATGTTACAACTAGCTCACACTTGAAAAGGATATTTTAAATACCATTTGAGGTAGACAGCCTCTGTCTCAGGCCTTCCCTGTAAAACTAATGAAAAAAATTGTGTTTCGGTTTCTAAAATGGATTCCTCTTTTGCTATGTGCATTTTTAATGAGTATTATGTTTCATAATTCCCCATTTTGTCAGAATCCTTTGCTGTGTCTCAGCGAGTCACTAGTCAGCGTGATCAGGGTCGGGCTGTGTTTCTGGAGCCTTTTCTCTTGCTTCTTTTCCCCTCAACGAGGAATGTTTCTGGTGGCTAATTCTGTTTATGTTTGGTGTGAGTGCTTCTAAGCATCTGTTTGTATCAGCTGCAGCCGCGTAGGGGAGAATCTCTAGAGTGTGCCCGTGGTAAACTGATAGGATTTTAAGTGACAGTCTGCTGAGCAGCTTGAGAGTAAAATTCCATCGGCTGCGATGAGCCCTGGAGGTCGAAGCTCTCTCCCCTTAGCAGGGACAGGAGGCATCCATAGGAACCCAGTGTCTTCTAACTCAATAGTAGACAGGTTACAGCCACACTGCGCTGCTCTAGTGAACATTTACGGACTGAAGAATGTGTTTGACGCTGCTCGTCTCACATCCAGACTTCTGTCTCTGATCTGGTGGCTGCTGCATTTCTAGGCCCCTCAGCCTGATCCTTCTTGCATCCTTCCCATGTGCTGTTAACAGATTGATCTTCCCGTAATACTACTTTTCGCTCCTTCTCTAGAGCCATCCGTAGTTCTTGGCCTGTGTGTAGGATCATGTTCCTACCCATCATTCCCTTACATGCCGTTTTATGGAGGGCTTCAGGGCCGCTATGCCCAAGGTCTCCTCTTCGGGAATTGTGTTTGCTTTCTGTCCCGGCATCACATTTATAACTTCATTGCCCGACAGTCCTCATTTCTGGTGATCTCTTTGGAACAGCTTTTCGTCCATTTTCCGTTAACCACGTGCTAGGAATCCCCGAAAATTCAGGCCTCATCCCACCCCAATGTGCAAAGCTCTGTACCCGTTCGAAGCACTCGTTTTCCTTACTCCCCTGATAGTTAGAACGACTGTCATGTAATCTTCATTTGGGCTGAATCTCCCTCATGCATCTATAGCCCGTGGGCCTCGATTAGTCCCTGCATCAGAGAAGGATTAAAAATATAGAGAGAGTTGAAAGGTCATGGAATGAATGAATGATTGGCTTGCCTTTTTCCAGGCTCTTTTCTTTCCTGATGCTAATGCTCAGAAATTAAGGTTTTGATAATTGCATTGCACTTAAAAAAAATAAAGTTATGCCCTCGGCTGAATGAGAGCTCACGAAGATCTAATGAAAAGAGTTGCATTGCAGCATTTTTAAGAACTGAGCATGAATTTCACTGGCCGCATGAATGTGCAAGTGTAAAAGGAAAGTAATGTTTTCAGCAATGAATAGCCCCTCCCCCAATTTATGTGACCATATTTTTATGTTTGAAAAATTTAAGAACTCACTTAGCTGTAATAGGTTTAGAGTTAACATGAGATCGTTTAGCAACATTTAGCTAATTGTTAATGTAAAAATAAAGTAATCTTCGATTAGAAATCTTGCTGTGAGTGAATCTGTAGAGTCTTGATTATGTACTCTGAGGTGGCAATGGGATTGTTCGCACAACTTAGGGCCGAGTTGCAATATGCAAACTCATCTGAGGGTGAAATGGAAGTCCAATTGAATTTTAGCAAATGCCTGCTTTTTAAGGGATGCAAACAAATTAGGTTCTCAGTGCTGCCTCCTGGGACAGAAAGTCACAACAATGATAAATGTGTAGCTGGAGACCAGATCTTTACTTAGGAGAAAATTTGGGGGCCAGTCTGCAGCTATTAAGTTACATTGGCAAAACATTGTTTACCTGTTACATTTTTAAAGGACTTCAGCCTTAATGATAAGATAAAATAGCACAACCTCAAAGTTTAACATGGTAGGAAACTTTTAAAAATGAGCCATGGATAGATATGCCATTCACCTTGCACTCTGACAAACATTATCTGTGTCAGGTTTCATATTTTTGGCTATACGATGCATCTCCTGAAGCTTATAACAAAGTACAGTAACCTAGAGAGCAGAACATGGGGGTCATTTTCAGACACTCACTGTCAGCTCTAGGATACACTAAAAATGCTTGTCTTGCTGAGATCAGCCTGCCAAACTCAGTATGAATGGAAAAAGAATCAGATTCACGAAAAACTAAGAACAGATAGTGTGATAAGCGTATAGGGTGAGAACTCTAAATGATCTTAGAGAAGTGTTTAGACATGAAGTGTATGTCATCATAACCACAGAATAGAAAATTTACCTGTTTAAGATAGGAAAGGACCAGTGGTGTTCGTGTGTGACTGAATAGCTATGACTGTGGATGATGGAAATGAACAACATGATATTTTAGTTGAAAAGCCAAGAAGCTTTAAAAAATAAAAAAAGTAATATGCTATTAAATGTCAGAGTGTTCCAAATCTGGTCTGTCCCTGAAAGAAGGAATGTCTCAAGTAAAAATATGCTTAAAATGTTGGCAATTGAGAAAAGATGAAAGAAGTTTGATCCTTCAGCCTGGAAAGGAGGAAGCAATTAGATCTGGCTAAGTACGCTTCGTATCACCACTGAGCTCAGAGCAAGAGTGAGTTCCTTGAACTGGAACGAATGAAAGTTGGGTAGATACAAAGAAGCCTTTTCTAATGGTGAGGGGTGAAGTCTTCGGTCGTTTTCAGGAATAGGATAGATTATCCAGTTGGAAGAGTTTTCTGGGGGCCAAAGTATGGACTTACGACTTCTCCCACTTTCTTGATAACCATCTGTATAATGAGGGTAGTTGACAAAGCCCCTCGCACGCTGTGTTCCCCCTTTCACCGCTGTGAGGAGAGTGGTGGTTTTCTCTACCCCGCGGTGCACGTAGAGAAGGGAGAACCAGGGCCTTCGAGTGATTCCTTCCATGGCACTCAGGTACTGAATTTTAGGGGGAAAATCGTTCCCCTGTATCTTGTTCAGTGGAGTGATTCACGAAAACACACGAGGATGTTTTTGCGAAATTGAAGACACGAACCTCACTGTATAGACCTGGCAACTCACTATAAACGTAATGGCTGTGCTTCCCGTAAAAACTGAACGGATGCTTACACATTGAACTTGTTTCTGGAAAACGGAATGAGTAAATGTTTGCTTCTCCAAGTCGATCATTTTATGAAGATGACATAGAATTTAAAGGAGGCGGGTTAAGGAGGGCCTTTTCTGTAACTGCTCCTGACTTCCTTCCTTTCTTTTTCAGAGTGAAGATCTCTCCAGCTCTGTCACCATCACCATGAACCCACACATCTGAAACATTAAAAGAAGATGCTCAACTTTTTTTTTTTTTTCCAAATACAAAGCTGCTTACAATTTACTGTTGGGTCTGAGCAGTGACTACGTTTGGAAACCCTTCCGGGACGGTATTAGACAAGGAATCAACACAAGGAAGAAGCACCTGCCTCACTTTCTGCTTCCCTGTGTTCAGCATCCGTTGTTGTGCTGCTGTTTCTGCTTTGTGTTGTGTTTTGTGTTTTTAGACGAACTTGGCTGAAGAAGTTACTCTCAAGAAAATTGGATGTTTTCATTGGCCGCCTTAAATTGTGGCCAGTGGCATAATTTCTTTTTACTTTCATTTTGGCAAAGCAAATTTATCCCTCAGCATGCTAGGAGATTCTACAAATACCCGTTCGAGTGGTAAAATCTGGTATTGACTGGCATACACTCAAAACTACCACAGTCCTACCTCAGTTCAAGATAAAGCCGGATTTGCGTGGTTAGGGGTACGGCAGGACTTCCGGTATGTCTGTTCTGAATGTGTCTGAAGCGTGGTCATTGGCCTTACTGAACTGGTTCAAGTAGACAGCTGCTTGTTGGACTTCAGTCCAGGGACCTGCGGTGTTTACTCACAGACAGAACCCAGTGTGGGACTGACATTTTTAAACTGAAATGAGATTTGGGATCAGACTTTGAAGACGGATTAATAAATAATCATTATTATATGTAACTGAAGCAACCTACTTTTGAAAATCATCAACTGTATTGGGTTGTGTGGGGTGGGGAGGGAAGGGATTTGGGAAGGGGGTGAGTATCTCTTTTTACCTTTAACAGATTTGTTTAGTCTTCTCTCCGTAGATGTTTATGTAGGTACTTCAGATTTGCAAAAGCCTTTTATCCTACTCACAAGCTCAGATTTCTCTGCTCTCCTTAATCTTGAGCTTGCATTTCTTTAACCAAAAATTCACGTAGGCATGCTAGCAATTCAAGGGTGGTCACGGGTTTGGCAGATTAAGACAAATATTTATTTAATATAATGCTGTCATGCCCGCCAGCAAGGCTGCCCTGAACAAAAAAGAAGAAGAAACTGATAATAAAAATTTAAAAAGAGGCATTCCAGCCCCGGGTAGTATTAATGGGAAAAGAAGCGAAGGAGAAAAGCAGTCTGGCAGTACATGTCAGTTGTCCAAAAATGCCTGACAAGACGACCCTTGTTTGATGTTTTCAGTGTTCTGAAAATACCAGTGTTGTGGCGATTATCACACGTGTCACCTAGAACTGCTGAAACAGACCAGCACAATGTTCTGTCAACTTGCTGCTCCCCTGAGACCTCTGATTGGAAAATTGTGGTCGTTTTCGTCCCGTGGGTGCATCCCCAGTGCCTGTCTTCCCTGATAGTCATGTAGATGTTACACTAATTCATTGGAGATGTGAGGAGTTGGGTTTTTTTTTAAGGAAAAAAAAAAGATTCATACTATGGAGAAAAATATATATAGATAGATATATATCACTATAGAATAATGCATTAATGAAATGAGGTTTTTAGAGGAAGACCAAAAAAAATTCAATGTCTTAAAAATATATTTAATGGCAATGCAAAAGTCTTCCTGCTTACATGCTGAACTTCTGGAACGGAGGATTGTATTACAAGACAAAGTTGAATGTAAAGTAATCCCCCCGGACATCTTTAAGGTTCTTCTTTTCTGAAATGACACATCACAGCAGTGCATAGGCCATACGACGTTGGTTTACAGGTCAACTTCAGTGTATAATACACTTTATTAAAATGTATAAAATGCCCGAAAGTTTTTTTTAATCTAGTTTTGGGACTAGGAATGGACGGATGGTATTTGCTATGTAACTCCCCCAGGTACAATAGGGTGAATCTGGACCCTGCTGAATAGAGTATATTGACTTGTATTTAAGTAGCCCTCTATGCTTAGAATAGTTACGCCACTACATGAATGCTCCGTGTTCACAGTGCAGCTTAAACAAGCAAAATAAAAAGTTAATAATGTACTCAATTTTCCTCTATCCTGTACATTTCAAAAAAAGGCATATGCAATATTTACATTTTTAATTTAGTTTACAGAATGGAACCAAAATGTATAAATGTTATGTTTGCTAAAACTTCACAATGTATATTGGGTCTTTGTACATTTTGCCTGACTTACCTTAAATTTAAAATATTTTTTGCTATATAAACTTTAACAGTTATTACACAGTGTTTCCTTTTGGGTACGTATTGTTTCTGGATATCAAGATGTTAAAATATATTTCTTGCTATTGTGAGATGACAAGAGACTTATCTTGCTGTGTCTTCCAATGTACACGCTGTATATAAGGATAAGTGTGACGCTGCTGGAGACAAGAATAAATGGAACTAGAATAGTGCATTGTATTTAGTCTGTATTGATCATGGATGTTCTCTCCTTAATAGCCATATGCAATAAAATAAAATACATTATTTATGAAGTGAATGAAGCTTTGAGGATGTTTTTCTGTGTGGATCCTAAGTTTAATATAGAGCTGCTCTAGAGTCCTAGAGTTACTTCGATACCCTTTAAATTTTGAAATTATTACTCTAGAAATCAGACACTATTTTTAAAAATCACAAAAGTTATGAAAATTAAATATTAAGAAACAAAACTGTTTTCTTTCTTTACAAAACAGGCTGGATGCTATTCCAAGTGCTTTGCAAACATTAACTCCTGTACTGATTATAACTACCTTAAAAAAGAAAACAGTTGCCATCAAGTCAATTTTGATTCATGGCGACTCCATATGTGTCAGAGTAGAACTGTCCTCCGTCGGGTATTCAGTGGCTGACTTTTTTGGAAGTAGATTGCCAGACCTTTTTCCTAGGTACCTCTGGGTGCACTCGAACCGCCAGCCTTTTGGTTAGCAGCTGATTGCGTTACATGTTTGCACCACCCAAGAGCTCCATAACAACCTTCTTGTAAGCTGTGGTGGAGTCAATTTCTGCTTATAGTGACTCCAGGGGACAGAACAGGGTTTTCTAGGCTGAAATCTTTATGGGAGGGAGCAGATTGCATCCACAGAGCAGATGGGTAGGGTTTGAACCACCAACCTTTTGGTTAGCAGCTGAGTACTTAACCTTATTGTGTGCTGTTGAGTCAGTTCCAACTCAGCGACCCTGTATGACAGAGTAGAACTGCCACTGGACGACTTGAACAACTTTAGGTGGTAAGAATTACCATCCCCATTTTATAGATGAAAAGACTGAGGCACAAAGAGGTTTAGTAAATTGAGGGCGTATAGCGCATGAGGAGTACAACCAGCAATCAGACCCAGCAGTTCAGTCCGGAATCCATGCTTACCCACTCTGCTATGCTACCTCTCAGACATGCATTCATGATGATGTACTGGGAACCCTGGTGGCACAGTGGTTAGGAGCTTTGGCACAGTGGTTAGGAGCCTGGCTGCTGACCAAAAATCTGTAGTTCAAATCCACCAATTGCTTCTTGGAAACCCTGTTGGGGGCAATTTTATTCTGTCCTATAGGGTTACCATGAGTTGGAATCGACTCGACAATGAGTTTTTTTTAATCCATACATCAAGAATACATAGAAGTAAATCATCAGACCCGGGAGATGAAATCTATAAGACCAAATCTGAAACTGATGCCTATTGATTTTTATCAGACAATTTTACCTCCTTGTTAGAAACAATTTTTCCATACATCATTTTACCCTGAAAGTATAGTCATGTAAATAACACGTGCCATCATTTAAAACACGTAAAATGAGAGCAATTTCGAAGATACTTTTTAAATGATGACTTTCAAGTCAACAAGACTCACATGGCACTCTGTGGCATTGGGAACTTGTATCGGGCAGCCTATGGATGGCTGTGTGAATTGTTCTAATGCCACTTGTTGATCACAGAGTAAGAAGCATCATCTGCAATGTTATTCCTGAAATTTTGCTAACCATTTTAATAAGGAAGCATATTTTGCCCGTCGTTCTAGAGGAGTCATGTGAGAGAGGAATGAGCAAATGTGTTTACCCAAAAGCTCGTTGGAAATGAAGTATAGAGTTGTTGCAAAGGTCTGTGGATCCTGGAAATACTCATTCAAAACCAATTTATAAAGGTTTAGAAGAATGTTAATTGTTACATGACATGCAGAAAGGAAGGATAAAGATTGAGTTGGGGGAGTTGGATTCTGATCCACGGGTGGTCTCAACAGTCAGCTTGAAAGATGCAGATTAGCTCCAGATCTTGTCACAGTATTCATGAATCCAGTATCATGGAGTGAACCTGCGGGATCGTAGCTAGTCCCTTCGCCAGACAAGCTCTAGGTTAAGTATTACTGAATAACCGTCCTGGATGACTTGGGCAGATTGTTCATTAGTTTTTGCCTGTAACTCTTGAGTTGACTGTGTGGAGCCCTGATGGCACAGTGGTTAAGAGATTGGCCGCTAACCGAAAGGTCAGCAGTTTGAATCCACCAGTAGCTCCTTGGAAACCCTAGGGTGCAGTTCTACTCTGTCCTAGAGGGTCGCTATGAGTTGGAATCGACTCGACGGCAATGGGTTTGTTTTTGTGGTTTGCTAGTGTTTGAATGAAGCTAACATTACTTATTTATCATAGTCACTTTTGGATGCCAACAACTGAAGGTCAAAGCTAATTGCTGCTTTAACAATTTACATCATCATTCTTCCCCCAGAACTGCAATAGTTTCACATTTCTTTGAATTATGCAACTAAATGAAATACAATGTTTATGATTCTTGAATTGGAAATCATCTATATATAACTAGTCTTATGCAGAGCCCTGGTGGTGCAGTGATTAGCAGCTTGGCTGCTAACCAAAAGGTCAGCAGTTCAAATCCAACAGCTGCTCCTGAGAAACCCTGTAGGGCAGTTCTATTCTGTCCTATAGGTTTGCTACGAATCAGAATCAACTCAACAGCAACAGGTATAGTCTTATGCAGGCGACAGATATAAAACACTAAATGGTCTTTCAGGATCTGCTTTTAGATTCTGGCTCTTCCAGCTGTGTTTCCTGTATGTGTTCAGCCTTTTTCACTCCACAGTTCCAAATGGTCCTAAATTAGCAATATAGTTTTTTTTTTAATCTGCTTATCATTAAAAAAAAAAAAAAAAAATGTTGCCCTGGAGTCAATTTCAACTCATGGTGACCCCACGTGTGTCAGAGTAAATCTGTGCTTCACAAGGTTTGCAATGGCTGCTTTTTCAAAAATAGATCTCCAGGCCTTTCTTCTAAGGCACGCTAGGTGTACTAGGACCTCCAAACTTTCAGTTAGCAGCAGAGCACATTAACTATATGTGCCACTCAGGCTACTTGTCATTAAACCAAAACCCGGTCCCATCGAGTCGATTCCAATTCATAGTGACCCTGTAGGACAGAGTAGAACTGCCCATAGGGTTTCCAAGGAGCGGCTAGTGGATTTGAACTGCTGACCTTCTGATTAGCAGCCGACCTTTTGGTTCCATGCTGAAACTATCTACGTTCCTTGAGTCTCAAATTGCCCATGGCATTTGCCACTGCAGGAGAAATTCCCTGTTCTAAGCATTTGACTTAATTCCTCTGCTCTGAGGTCCATCTGAGTCTAAACCTCATAAATTTTATTTTCTGTATTTCAGAATCCCCTCCTTTCATCTAGGACCTCTAAAGCTCTAAGTTTTTACAAAAATTCCCTCCATCTCAAGAAACCTACTCCAACACTCCTCCAGTCTGTCTGGGTGGCCTCAAACTCTTAACAGTACAACATGCTCCTATCTCTTCAGATCTTTCTGATAAACCAAACCAAACCCATTGTCGTCAAGTTGATTCCGGCTCAAAGCAACCCTACAGGACAAAGTAGAACTGCCCCATGGGGTTTCCAAGGCTGTAATCTTTATGGGAACAGACTGCCACATCTTTCTCCAGCAGAGTGGCTGGTGGGTTCAAACCACTGACCTTTCAGTTAGCAGCCAAACACTTAACCACTGTGCCACCAGGATCTAGTTGATTTATAACATCATTAATTCTTGGATGACATTGACATAAAACAAAAACATCCTGTTGATTGATAGATTTTCCCAGAAAAGATACATAAAGTACAATAAGGTAGTTGAATTAATTAGAATGCATTTAACTGAGAGTAATAGAAAACCCAACTCAATGGATTAAACCAGTGGTTTTCAAACTTTAGGGCTTATCAGAACCAGCTGCAGTGCTTGTAAAAATGCAGATTGCTGGACCCCACCTGCAGCCTTTTTTCTTCAGTTGGTCTGGGGTTGGGCCTAAGAATTTGCATTTCTAACAAGTTCCCAGGTGATACTGATGCTGCTGGTCTGGGGCTTTGAAAACCACTGGATTAAACAGTAAAGGGATTTGTTATCTGATGTGATGAGAAGTTCAGGGTTGGGTTAATTCAGCAGGTAAGTGACGTCAGCAGGGGCCCAGGATTTTTTCATCTTCCTGCTAAGTCACACTCAGGATCCTAGCTTTTCTCTCTCACACTTGTCCCCTCATGTTGTAAGATGGTCACAGGAGCTCCAGACAGCATATCCTCGTGCAATAACAACCAATAAAGACTCTCTTTCTTGGGTGCCTTTTTTGGAGTGATGCAAATGATCCCAGAACCACCCTACTTTCAGGAGACTCTGCCTCACTTCCCACTGACCAGAGATGAATCATATGCCCATTGATAAGTTAATCACTAGGAAAACCCATTGCCATCGAGTCAATTCCGACTCATAGCAACCCTCCAGGACAGAGTAGAACCGTCCCATAGGGTTTCCAAGGAGCAGCTGGTGGATTTGAACTGCTGACTTTTGGTTAGCAACTAAGCTCTTAACCACTGCGCCACCAGGGCTCAATCACTAGTAAAGGAGAATAGAAATATGATGGTTGATTAACACGTAAAGAGATTCACCTTTTGGGGCTGGAGAGGAGGTAGCATTCCATGAAACATCTGGCTGTCAGATAGCTGAACGAAAGCTAGGTGTTGGTAACAGGAATAAGAAGGGGTGGTGTCTAATCAGTAGGCATAGTCAGCTACAGCAGCATAAAATTAAAGTGCCATCAAAGCCCATTTTAAACACAATTATACCTTAAATGCATTGTCTCCATACATGGTGAACATACTCCCAAATCGACAGTGATTTTTGAAAATGGATTTATAATAGACTACAGGTAGAATGGAGTCCCTGGGTGGTGCAAACAGTGAAGCGCTCAACTACTAGCTGAAGGTTGGTGATTTGAACTCAGCAAGAGGCCCTCGGAAGACAGGTCTGGCCACCTGCTTCTGAAAACCCTACGGAGCAGTTCTACTCTGCACACACAGGGTCACCATGAGTCAGAATCAACTTGACAGCAACTAATAACAGCAACAGGCAGAATAAAACTTTTAATTTATAAATACCAAAAACATAATAGTGATATTGGCCTAATTCACATAATTGTTATTTTCAAGACCCTGGAAATAATTCTACCATTATGTTCTTCACCTGTTTGTTTTTGGTATTGAATGCTGTTCAACACTGGAAGCTGTTTGTTTGTTTTAGTTTCTCATATAAAAATTTATACACACATTGTTATGTGACTCTAGTTGTTCTCCCTATAATGTGACATCACACTCCTCCTTTCCACCCCAGATTTCCTGTGTCCATTCAACCAGCTCCTGACCCTCTCTGTCTTCTCATCTTGCCTCCAGACAGGAGCTAGCATTTAGTCTCATGTATCTACTTGAATTAAGAAGCACTCTCTGGGACTCCGGCAAGATGGCGGTCTAGGCAGAAGCACCACGCCGTCCCTCCACAACAAAGATCCAAAAAACTAAGCCAAACAGAGAATCAACAATCCTGAAACCCTAGAACATCAAATGAAGAGATAAAGAACTCAGCCGAACACCAAACGGAGTAAGAATAC